AAAAGAAAAGAGCCCCAAACAAATCCGAAAAAAAAAACTATATTATGCAGAAAAATAAACTGAACAACTTTCGCCTCGCGATGACACCGAAATTCCTTGTCAAATTTAAAATAAAAAATAAATCTAAAGACGACCCCAATTTTGGGATGACATCGTAATTTGTTGTCAATTTCAAAACAAAAAATAAACCTAAATACAACCCCAATTCCCCCCCCTCTAATTTTGTGCTTTTTACTGCTAAAAATGGACTTGTCCGGTCCCGGACGTCCGGGAACACCCCCCCGGCTCCCCTCTGACTCTCCGGCCAGGACGTCCTGCCGTCGGACACAGCTGGTAACATAGCTATGTTGTATTCGGGGGAAGAAGGTAGCCGATGGATACGATGCGTATGTATTAACAGTAGTTTGTTTCTCTTTTTTTTTCATGAATTGACCGTAGTAGCTTGGCAGATGCAGGGAGTAGGTATGAAAGTAAAAAGATGAAAGCTTTCACTTTCCACAAGTAGACGATAAAGGGGCTGGCTTTGCAAATGTGGGTAGTCCTGCATTTGTCTGTTCCATACTGTCTTCACGTGAATAGAATGCCCGGTCGTTATAGCTGTATTTGGGGCAATTATCAGTCCAGATGTGGGGATAATGATCGGGCGTTCTATTTGGGTGAAGATGGTAATGTGTACGGCGTGTGAGCCTGTGGCTGGTTGTTTTTGCCACCATGTCAATAGGCTTCTTTTTTCACAATTTCTGCTGAATTGAAATTTACATGGAGTGTTCATTCCAAGGGTCCATTCACTATTTCATATGTAATGTTTCAACCAGTGGAAATGGAAGCCTCAAATGCATATCTGCTGTTGTCAACTGAAAAGGTTGATTAGAGTTGTGGCTAGGCTACTGAACCTGCCTGGCCGGACCGGACAGCCTGTGCCCCCTCACAGGGTACCACGGGCGAGTGATTTTCCGTCCCAAAATTTTGAATTTTTTCTTGCAAGACCTGCGGAGCATTTCTGCGCCCACCAAGTAATGTCCAAATCCGCTTTTTTTTTTCCTCTTATGGTGGGGGGTCGGGGACGGAGTGTGGTTTGGGTGGCTCGTAGGCTAAGTTAGGGGCATGGACGACAAGCTGTGTGTCCGAAAATCGATTCAACACGGGTTCGGCGTTGAAAGATTCAACGCGCGTTGAATCCGCGTTGAATCCCGCTGAAAAGCCCGTTAGACGGGTTACAACGGGACCTGCATTTTTTTTTTTTTTACGGCTATGACGATATATATATATATGACTCGGTGAAACTCCGACGAAACAGTTTGTCACAGCCCCTCGTTTGTTGTCCTCTTCTCTCTCTGCCTACGGTTTACCGGGCAGTTCTATTTGTGACAATGTATATATATATACGATATATATATATATATATATATATAGATAGATATATAGATATATATGAGGGTTCAGCCTCCTGATGAGTCGGTGAAACTCCGACGAAACAGTTTGTCACAGCCCCTCGTTTGTTGTCCTCTTCTCCCTCTCTGCCTACGGTTTACCGGGCAGTTCTATTTGACGATATATATATATACATCGTCACAAACAGAATATATGTATGCCTCTAGTGCCAGCGGCGTGTCTGGAGTGTATTTTTTGGCTGTGACAGAGCTTTCTTTGTTTCGTGGAT